GGTTTTCCCCCTCTTTTGTAAACTATTTACAAGATATTAGGAAATTTCTAGCAAGTAGAAATGCCAAGTCCAAATGAAAAAAAAAAAAAGAATAAGAAAGAATTTGTTTTGTTTGTTTAAGGGTTTTGTTAAGACTTAAAGCCCAAGTCTCTATCAATTTGCATCTTATCTTTGTATTTATTCCACTTTATTGTTAGATGCCTTAAACTTGAATCTCAAAGCATATAGGTACTGTAGCCTTTTTGGGCTAATTAGAATGAGGTTGACTCTTCCACCTTGGCTTATAGCTAATCCATCGACATAGAGTTTCCAATCATCTTTATCCAATGTTTATTTCTTTTTCTTAGATTGTTCTTTCGATTGTACTAAAGTGCACTCTACGACCATGTCTGTCAGCTTCTATAATTTTAATATCGATGTAGGTGAAATGTGTACATTGAATTTGTTAAGCTCTATTGCCCATTTGATTAGTCTTTTCAACATTTCAGGATTTTGTAAAACTTAACTCAGTGGCTGATCAGTTAGGATATTGATCATGTAGGCATGAAAGTATGGCCTGAGTTTCTTGACTGAAGTGATAATGGTGTAGCCCAATTTTTCTATGCTGTTGTAATTAACTTTAGGCTTTATCAATACTTTGCTTACAAAATAGACCAGTTGTTATTTTCTTTTTTTTTTCTCAGACTAGGATCGAACTAACAACCTAATGTACTGGCTAAGTATAAATATAGTATTTCACCAGTCTTCGATTAGATAAGATGGACAGAGAGGGTAAAAACTCTTTGAGTTCATCAAAAACTTTTTGGCATTGAGGAGTTGATTTGAAGTTAGTGACATTCTTAAAAATTTTAAAGAATGGTAGACATCATTCTATCAATCTAGACATGAATAAGCTGAGCACGACTATTTTGCCTATTAATCTTTATACTTTTTTTTATCGAAATCGGTGCCTTCATTTCTAAGATCGCTTGAACATTTTAAGGTTCACTTCTATTCCCCTTTGATTGATCATGTAACTGATAAATTTGCCTGATGTAACCTCAAAAGTGCATTTGCTTGAGTTAAGTTTCATATTATACTTTCTTAAAGTGTTGAAGGTTTTTTTAAGATCCTTTACATGCTTGGTCAAACTTTTACCTTTGACTATCATGTCATCTACATATATCTCCATATTACGATCGATCTGATCTTTAAACACGTTGTTCATCAATCTTTGGTAGGTCACTCCTATGTTCTTCAATTTGAAAGGTATGACTTTATAACAGTAAAGGCCTTTCTTAGTAATAAAGATCATTTAATCTTCATCATCTTTCAACATTTTGATATGATTATAGTCAGAATAGGTATCCATGAAGCTGAAGAATTCATGCTCGGTATTATCATCTACTAGCTAATCTATGCCAAGGAAGGAAAAGTTATCTTTTGGACAAGTTTTATTCAAGTCAGTAAAATCCACACACATTTTCTATTTTTTGTTATGCTTTTTTACTATGACTACATTGGCTATCCACTTAAGGTAGTAGGCCTTTTTGATAAAGTTAGCTAATAATAATTTGTCAAAATTTTCCTCAATGGCTTATTGTCTTTTGAGGTTAAAAGTTTTTTTTTTTGTTAAACTAGTTTTACCTCAAGATTAGTGTGTAGTCTATGGACCATCACGTCAGTATCAATTTCAAGTATATCGTATAGTGTCTAAGTAAAAAAGTTGGCATTATTTCTTATGAGTTGAATCAGTTGGCCTTTGTGTTGAAGCTTGGCTTTAATCTACATGTATTTTTTTAGGAATGTTGTTTCAAAATGGAAATATCATTAGGTCTTCAACCAATTTTGGTAGGTTTGCATTCGAGTTCAATTTTTCATCAATTATCTCTTTTTGTTCTATTAAGTCAGGTTCATTTCCTACGAAAATAGATCTTAACGTGATGATTAGTATTTTGAAAAACTTGTTGAACGTAAAAGTGAAGTATATTTTTCATTTCACTCTGTGTTTTGGCTAGTGTGTTAACTCTATCCAAATAACATCAAAATTAATTACATCGACTTAGGAGCTTAGTTGTTTCTAATGTTATCTTAAAAAATTCAAGAAATGGAACAAAATTAAAGTTTTTTGGAGCTTAAGAACTCACAATGGCTTAAGAGCATGCTTTTTTCAAGTTAGTCTTACGTTCTGTGCTTTTGTCGGTGATTGTTTACTTCTTTTCAATTTTTTGTGTTGGCTTTTCTTTGTTTTTAACCTCAGTATCGATTGAGCTATTTATATGCTTTCTAGTTATACCTTTTATTATTATGACATAACATTGATGTGCTGTGGATTGGTCTCTCTGAACTTTTTCAACCCCTTTCAGTGTTAAGAATTTCACTTTCAAATGGAAAACTAAACCTATAAGCCACATAACAGACTAGCTAGGTCGACCTAATATTATATTATAAGCAAATGGGATATCAACTATCATGAATTCTATGATCAAGGTAATTATCTTCGATTTAGTCCCTAAAAAGATCAGAGCTTGATAATTCCTTTTATAAGTACTTGCTTATTTTCAAACCCACTAATGTGGTAGTGATCGATTTTCACTAATTTTCACCAATCTTTATTTTCTTCAAATAGCCGTAGTACATGATGTCAGTCGAACTTTTATTATTAAATAGGATTATTTTGACCACATAATTATACATAAAGGTTGTGATCACTATGGCATTATCGTGTAAGTGTTGGATTCTTTCTAGTTCTTTCGAGTTAAATGAGATAGACTTGTCTCTCTAGTCTTTTTTTTGTCAAGGTACCTCTTACCATTACCATGCTTGGGTTAAACTTCTTTTTTGTTGAGGTGAAGCTACCTCTTGTATCATGTTAATCACTTTAGTAATTAGCTTATTATTGTCAGCTTAGCCTTTTTATTGATTTAACTCTTTTTTTTAAGATCTTTTCTTTCTTACTTTGCCAAGGTGGAAGTTCTGTGATCTTATATGTAATCTTTTCTAAGTTGGTCTTGTCTTTTATATCTCACAAATCTCTTCAACTAATCTTGTCTTATCAGAGCTTCAATCTTGTTTTTCAGGTCGACATGATTTTTGGTATTATGGCTGATGTCCCTATATAAGGCACATTTTTTTATCAAATCCCTTATTATGTTATGTCTTAGTGTCTTAGGTCATCTAAGGTTAGGATTTCTTTCAATTTGCATCAGAATCCTCTCACGAGAGGTATTCAGTGCAATATAACTTTTTTCTCCACTGGGGTTTCTAGCCGTATATTGTCTCCCTCTTAAGAAAAGATTGTAGAATTTTTTTTTACAATCGAGGAAAGGGGATAAGTCTTTCTCACCTTGATTTATTTTCATTGTAGCTTCAGCATTAATGTATTTCTTTATTATTAGCAGGATGTAAACCAGAGTTTTGGGTGATTCTAGCGATAATGTCAGCTTTAAGTGGTACTTTTTATCATTGAATCCACTAGTCAGTGCGGTAATAGTGGCCATCTATTTTAGATTTTTAAATCGTAGAGCTTTCACTTTAAAACATGTGACATAGCTTTTCAAAGTTTCATTCTGCCCTTGGTGAATTAACATCAAGCTTAGAGTTATTTTCTTAGCCTTTCGGCTACTCAAAAATATGGATAGGAATGAGTGACTAAGCTCCTTGAATGTAGTAATTGACCTCGACTTCAGACTGTTATACTAAGATCGAGTTACGTTTTTCAACGTAATGGTTAGATCTTTGCACATAAGAGCTTCATCTATCCCTTGTATCATCATGTTAGTTTTATAAAGTTCTAAATGATTAAAAGAGTCAAAAGTACTGTCATATATCTTCAAGGTTGGCATTTTAAATCCTTTGAGAGGTATGGCTTTGTCAATTTTTTCAGTAAAAAGAGAGGCTTCTAGGAACTTGAGCTCATCCTCAAATGCCACTGCCTTTGTTTTCAGTTTTTTTTTTCATAACTCGCATCCAAGCTTCCAAATATCTATTCAGTTAGAGTTCATGGTTTGTTTGTTTGGATTTTTTTATTGTAGCATGTGTGGAATTATGACTAGGGTAGTGATGAGTTGGGTTTATGTGTTCTTCTTTTCTAAAAGTCGACAAAGCTTCCGCCTCTTTATAGCTCAATTGTCTCGATAGCAACTTCTCGATCATGTGTGATTAAGTTCAACATTTTTAAGACTTGTGGTGGGGCTATAGTTTGTAGCATCTGCTTGAGAGTTTGTATTTGTTCTATCAGGGCTTGAAATTGTCCATGGTCAGTCTCACCTATGGTTAAGTTGAGCGGACATAATGCTAGCTAAAGTGAGTTTCTATTCTAGCCGAGGTGGCTACCTCTTCTTTCTCTTAGGTTTTTTTTCTTAGTGACATTATTTTGTGCTCAGTTAATATGAGATGTCCCCTACTTGGTGTGTTAAATATTGGTGTTAAAATTCAACTTGAGGGTATTCCTATAAATATAGAAGAGAAAGACTATTAAAGGCAAAGGCAATGGGTGTTTTCTGCGTTTGCAATTCGACGAGCAAGTCAATAGAGATCAAATTAAAAAAAAAGTATAAAAGAGAGAAAGAGAGAAGTAAGTGAGATAAATCTACCTTCATGGTGCCTAAGTTTTCATATTTATTGGTAAACTGAGAGACCGTACAAGGACAATTAGGACAAGATCGAGCTGAAGTGACACTGACTATATCAGACCAACCTAACATATCAAGTCGATACAAATGATAAAAGTACCTCTGATTATTTATTAAAAGTTTTGAGAAAAGAAAAAACTATTATACCTTTTTTATCTTCAAATGTTTCTAATAATATTATTTTATCTATTATCTTATATACTAAAAATAATGTTAAAAAAATTAAATAATATTTAATTATATTTAATTATATTTAAATAAATAAAAAATAATTTATGCATAGCAAAGTAAATAGTTAATTGTCACCTTATAACACTTGCCAAAAAAAAAAAAAAGCTGGGTATGGGACACGCACGCACGATATACCATGTTGTGTTGCTCTTAAATATATCGATTCGATTGCCTTTTTGTAGCTACACTACGGCGTCGTGTTAATGCGGATGGGCAACGTTTACAGGGGCGTCGCTTTAACGCGGATGGTTTTTTTTTTTTTTTTTTTGACCTTTTTCCTTGTCATTGGGATGCTAGAACCGGCGAATCTGTAATTGGCATACCAAAGAAAAGAAGCAGCAATTGGGAAAATTGCAACTCCTCCTACTCAGTATCAGAGAGCTATCTCTAAACTCTCAACGCGACGTTTCCTCCCGTAAGTTATTGGACTAATCATCCACTATTTGTTTTTCATTTTTTAACGATGAATTTCTCTGCTTTAAAATATTCCAAAGTGAAAGCAGTTAGGGTTTTCTTTTGAACACTGGTTAGAAAAGTTTGATCACCATATAGAAAAATCAGCAAGTGATTTTAATCTTATATAGATAATAAAATTTATGTTTTTGTTGAAAAAAGACGAAGAAAATTAGGGTTTTCCCCCTCCTTTGTAAATTATTTACAGGATATTAGGAATTTTCTGGCCAGTAGAAATGCCAAGTCCGAATGAATAAAAAAAAAGAAGAATAAGAAAGAATCTGTTTTGTCTGTTTAAGGGTTTAGTTAGGACTTAGAACCCAAAGTCTCTGTCAATTTTCATCTTATCTTTGTATTCCTTCTATCTGCGACTCTTTATGAGGAAAGTTTTGGAACGAATCGACAAGTTGAAAGGCTTTTCTTGATTTGGGTAGTTTCCCTGTTACCATAATTTGTTACAGGAGCTACTTTGTTACAGGCCAAGTCTGCTGCAAATTTTCTGCCAAGTTATTAAATGTTATATTATATAATTATAGTGTTTATTTGTTAGAAGTTAATTAAGTGTAAGAGAGTTATTTAGTAATACTAGTGACTGATTTGCAAAGTCAGTAAAGGAGGAGTAGAAACAGATACGTAACAACAAATTATGCGTTGTACTGGCTTTGAGAAATTTGGTAATAAACTTTCCTTCTCTCTAAGATTACAGCTTCATTCTCTCACCCTATCTTCCTTCCTCTATTTTTGCAGAACATTGTCAATTCTTCTTGCTCTTCTCTGTTTTCTGCATTGTTGAGCTTGACAGCAATCATTCTCTTTTGTATTGTATCATACTAGTTAATTTGCATACAACAGTACTTATAGGTGAGGTTGCCAAGAACAGGGGCTCAGGCCTTTTAAGTTTTGACAACTATTTCTAACTCTATGCCTTTATATTTGTTGCAAGTTGTCATGTAAGTTTCTGTCTTTATTTGTATATAACATGAAATTACTGAATAGTATGATATTTTAGGTGTTTTCTTTTAATCTACTGCAAAAGGAATTATAAAGAATGATTCTTGTTTATGTGACCTTTTGTCCTTTTAGCATTTGCAGGTAGATGAAGACTCTGATGCTTTGAATTTCTGAAAGTTTATTAAGCTTGTGCTTACCACACTAATTTTCATCTAATACCCTTTGCATTTTATGGTAATTCACCCTCCAAAGCTTTTATTTGCTTGTGAAGTTTTTAAAATATATTAATATATGTTGAAGTTGAAATGCATTTTGAAATCCTCTCTGCTATCTTGTATTCCTTTCTAATTTGTCCCTATAGAATGTTGGTCTCTAGTCCATACAACAAAATAATTTGCCACTGTTTTGCTGATTCATATCTTACTTGTGCATGTTCCTTGACTTGGATTTGGCTGTTTGGGAAATGAAATTTGATTTCTGTTATAATGTGAGAAGCACAATAGAAAAGGATCTTGTTTCTTTATCTTAAGGGACCTTGTGTTCCATAAGGTAGCTCCCATGCCAAGATTGCCATGTTTCAATTGTTCTTGAGCATCAGGAAGAAAAAGAGCTTTCTGCCCTTCCCAAGGGATTGTCACCATGTAGCTTAATCTAGTGATTTTTTCCCACATTTCTCTGTGATTTTTCAATAGTTAAAAATTTAACCCATGTTGGGATTGATGGTTGTGTTTTTGTGCCCAAAATGTGTTTGTCTTGTCTTGATTCAAGATGTTTTGAACTTGTTGGGGGCACTTTTTGTTTGAAGCAGTTTAGAATTGGATGATTTTCCGATAAGCTTGGTGCTTTATCAAGAGAGATTCATGATTTTGAATTGGTTGTAATGGCTGACTGCAGGATCCTAGGAGTTTCACCGACGAGAAGAGTGAGAGCAGACTATACATTGGCAACCTTGACCTAAGAATAACAGAGTGAGTATAATTATTTGAAACTGAAGCTTTTATTGCAAAATATCTATGGAAACTAATATTATGCTGTTCTTTTCCAGAGCTGCTCTGATTAAGGTGTTTTCTCCATATGGGAAGATTATATCTGAAGATTTCTTGTGGCACACTCGTGGGCCAAAACGTGGAGAACCACGAGGGTTTGCCTTTATCCAATACAGCACGAAAGAGGTAAGTCGTCTGCTTATTCTCTCTCTGTGTTTTCAGGCAAGTCCTGATTTCCATATTTAAAGTGAGTATGCAGGAAGCTAAATTGGCTAAGGAGAAGATGCATGGGAGATTAGCTTGTGGTCGCCCATTGGTTGTTCGTCTAGCCAGTGAGAAATACTTGGAGGAAGTAGCACAGAATTCTTCCAAAGCTGGGGGTGAGGCAATTAGAAGTGGAACTGCTAGTAACACCTCGGGACAGATGAGTCGCAGCGCCAAAATTGCTGCTATTAAGAACAAATTGAAGGCCTTGGATGAAGAGAGGGGTAGCGCAAAGAAGCAGAAAGCAAGCTGACAGCATGTATCTTATGAAAGGAGTTGACCATCAATCCAGTAGACATTACTGATACATTTTAAAGATGGCGATTTTTGGATTTACGAGTGTGCTAGGGCTTGCTCTTCAAAGTTTCAGCCCAAATTAGATCCGGTCTGAATCGACCCAAACTTTAACAATTAACATCTGTATTGTTTACTACCGACTTGTTCGCTCCTCCATTTGAAATTAAAAATCCGAAGGAAAGAATTTCTAAAGATTTGACAGGAAATATAAAATTGAGAACCGAACGTTAAGCGCCTCCTGAGGCCCTGACTGCAGAAAGGATTGTTTTCGGTAACCCCGAATCCACTACCAAAGATGCGATCAAACACGAATCAGAATTGTGCCAAATACAATACCAAGATCTTGACTCGAATCTGATTGCCGTACGATCGTAAGGTCAAACGTAACAGCACTTGATCAGAATCTAAGAATCAGTGTGATCCGCTTAATATCCAACTCGATGAAGCATGAACAGGGATTGACTCAAATTTATAGTTCTAATATGACTTGGCCTACCTTTCTTGCTGGGATTAGGTAAATTCCATTGGACACCAGCGTGACAGTCATTACCGTTTCAATAAACTGTCGGTGTAATAAGTCCCAATGAACATCTGAATTGGGTTCTCTTCTATAGCCCATGTAATTTAAACTTTAAATTTGCTCAATCGTATTAGTCGTGTAGCTTTTAATCCCACTTGGACATTTCTCATACACTTATAAATTTAAAACGAGAAGAGAAAGATTACAAATATTCCATAGCCACTAAAAACGTTGATAATCAGCTGACTGCTTCACTGACACTTTTTTCAACGTTGTCATTTGCCCATTTTTCTGGAAGTTTTCAATTTCTGGAAGCAATGGGTTTTTATCTTTTATCTTCGTTATAGTTTGTGGATATTATAGATGATTATCTACTAAATTGAACTTGAAGGTCAGAGATACAAAGGTTGGAAGTGCTTTGAGTGGTGCGCTAGTGAATACTTTGATTGGACTTGCTACTAGTATTTGGGGATAATTTCTTCTGAAGCTAAAGCCTACTCAATAGTGCTGGAGTTTTTGCTCCCATTGGCTTGTTCCTTTGTTATTGTTTAGAGCAGATTTCCTGCATGTGATTAAGTCAACAGGGAAACTTGTCCTGGCTTTCTTGCTCGGATCAGTTAATTCCACTCCCCACCAGAGTCTTGATGATAGCCATTTCAATTGATCACCTGTATAATTAATCGTACTTTTTTAGGTGAATTTTACTTGTTTTTGGGTCATTATTTTGTGTTAGGATAGTCCTTAACCGTTTATGACAATGTGTATGCGTGGCACGGCACGTGAAAGATTAACACACAAATATCATAATTTTTATATTAAAATTTTATTTTTTAATAATTAAAATATTAATGAATAAAGCATATTATATAGATAATCATTAAATTAATCATCAAACTATGTATACTTTCTTAATTAGTTCACGCTGTGTGATATATATGTTCAAGCAAAATCAGCATATTGATCTATGCTCGAAAATTCTCTTCTTTTTTTTTTTTTGGTGATATTTGGTCTCCAAATTTTGCAACACAGTGGCCACAAAAGTTGGAACAACATTGGCATATGTGGTAGCGCCGATGAGTGCATTTGGTCAGATTGTTGGAAGATAGCCGCTGCCTCATGGGTAGGCATATTGGCGGAGGAAACTTATTCACTTCCTTGGATTATAATAGATACTTGTAATCCGATTCCATTGGTTTCATTGTTTCGATAAACTTCTTTGTTAGCCTGATGAACTTATTTTTTATGTTGTTCAGCTGTCAATTATGTTGCCTTTTCAAACGCCCTTGGAGTTTCTCCATCTGTTTTAGCCGCCCGACTAGCTGCAGATAATGTTATCTGTGCAGCATATTTTACAACACTGTTTGCGTTGGCATCAAAAGTACCCAGAGACTTCAACGTCACCCAACGGTGTGCCAAGCTCCTCAATTTGTGTGATAAACTGATTTCTTTATCTTCATTATGAATATACATCGGTTGCCCGGATAAATCGTCTATTTCATGAAGTTTCTTTTCTACATTTTATATTTGATTTTTATTTATTATATTTTTTCCTCACCCTCTGCATCAAATGTGAGTGTTGTAGAATGATGTGGTTATGTTTAAAAAATTGTATAATATAATTAAAGTTGTTAAGACTTCAGCAGATGTTGCAACCGGTGAGGGGTCTGAATCTGGTGGCAAACTTCCTATCTTACTGATAGCTAAAGCTCTTGCAGTATCCTTTACCAAAGCTCTTGCAGTATCCTTTACCATCTGCAAACTCGCTGCTTATCTCACGAAATATTTTGGCATTCAGGGAGGCAGCCTCCCTGCGGTTACAGCAGTTGTTGTTATTCTGCCAACTGTATTTCCTACCCAGTTAGGCAGCCTTGCACCAGCTGGGGAGGCTATGGCTCTAATTCTGATGCAGGTAATTATCATTACTGGAAACAGGCATCAGCCTTTATTTTTTTTCCAACTATATTTGTATAAGAGATGACCTTAACCGTCAATGGCACATTAAATTTTAACTGTCACCATAATTATTATACCATGTGCTAAATTTGGCTCTGTTTGTGGGTTTATATGCAATATTGGCACTGATATATACTTTTTTGTGCAGGTATGGGTGGATTCTGGATTTATATTTAGTGGGCGTAAAAATATATATCTAAATATATATTAGTTAACTAAAATGCATAAAAAATTATTTTTTGTATACAAAAAGATAACATATTACAATTATTTTTTTATAGATTTTTATATTTTAAAAGCATTGTAAAATCTTTTCATTATCAATATTACAAAATATATCTTTTTCTATATATGTAGCCAAATAATAATCATCCAAGATTCACCTATTTGATTGTGTAAATGATTCTTCACAATCTTCATAGTAGAAAAAACTATTTCAATTGATGTCATAAAAATTGATAATATCAAAACTAATTTCACAAATATACCACTAGATACATAAAATGTTTCTTTGCTCAATAAGTTTTATAGAGAGGTCACTGATACTTTTCAAGTTTGCAAACTCATCATGATATCTTAAATCAACAATGTAAGTTTCAAGTTAATTGTCAAGTATTAGCTTCATATTAAAAAATTCGACTAGATAAAATTGAGCAAGATAGATAAATATTTCCTTATCAAAAGTTGCAAAAAAAAATCACAAGAATTTAAAGAAGTTACACAAAGAAATGACTTCATATTCACTTCGTTAAAACAATTATTGAACACTTGATGTTGCATATTAGTTATTGTGTAAAACAACTCAACTGATAATAATGTAAATTTGTCATTGTTTGAGCATTGTGTCAAGGTTTTCCATGAGTTACAAACATATCATCCATATTTAGGATGCCAAAAATAAAGAAAACTTTTTATGCAAAGATTCCCATCATCACTCTCATCGTTTGTAGTCGTTGCTTCGCTACATTTACTAATGCCATTGCATTCTCAATATCTTGATCTTGCCTTTGTAATGCCAAGGACAATTCATTTATAATCTCCAAGATATTTTTCATCAACTGCAAGTTAAAAGCAAAGTCAAAAAATTGAGTCGAATCTAATAAGAAAGGAACTTTCTCTTTGCTCTATACTATTCACATCTTCTACAATAATTTCAAGCACACTAATAATGAAACTAAATATAATGATCAAGTTTATCAAAAACCCATAATGTCAACCCTATCATATATCCCTAGCTCATTGAAGATTTATTTCTTGATTTAAACCTTTTCTCGTAGAAAGTTCATCGACTTGTAATACTTCAACAATTTTATCAAATTGTTTTCTTGAAGAACATCTCTTCATTTATATGAAGTCCCAACAATATTCACTACATTTGTTACAATGTTGAAAAGCAATGTAATTTGAACATGATTCTTTGCACGGCTACAAATGTCAATTAAAGGTGATTAGCAAAACAAGGAACATAATAAGCAAATGCATTACCTTTCATGATCAAAGTTTATAGACCATTGTATTCACCTTGCATGTTACTTACTCCATCATAAACCTTGCCCACAAATCCTTGACATACTCAAATTATGTTTAGAGAATAATGCTTTAATAGCTGCTTTAAATGACAAAACAGTCGAATCATTAACATATACTATACCCAGAAAATGTTCAATAACATGCCCTTTAAATTTCACATAGCGCAAAACAATAGAAGCTTGTTTTTTGATTAAAATATCATGAGATTCATCAAGTAAATTAGAAATAATCCATCTCTAAGATCTTCCATAATAGTGTTTGTAATCTCAATTGTTATGGCACGAAGAAGATCTTTTTTAATATCATGTGCTATCACTTTTAAATTTTTTGATCCATTTTCCAAGACGATACTATTGATGGTTTCATTGTGATTGGTAAGAAATCTAAAAAGTTTAAAAAATTTTTCTTAATTGTGAGAATTCGCAGTTTCATCTCTACCACAAAATGCCAAATTTTGACATAAAAGAAAACGAATGCAATCAAGTGTTGTAGTTAAGAGAATTTGATAATCTTTTTGTGCTTGATTGGATTGTTTTGCAAAAGCAAATTAAATATGTTGCTTTTGATTTAGCAAATCTTAATAACACTTTCAAGCTTTGTTATGAGTACTATTAGGACCTCCAACATGAATATCAAGTATTTTTTTCTTTTTTCAATTTGTGAATCCATCTTAAGCAAAACAATCACCACCTACTTGCTCTTCAATATCCTAGCTATAAAGATAACAACATAGATAAAAAGAACCCAGCATACTTATGTTTACTCTAGTTCAGCTCGCCATCCATTTGGCTTTGATCCTAGGACTAGGGAAGCTATTTTATTTTGACCTAAAGTTGTTGATTGCCAATGTTGGAGGTCCTACAACAACATGTGGAATAGCCACAGCCAAAGGGTGAATTTCTATAGTTATTCCTAGTAATCTTGAAAGCATTTTTGGCAATGCCATTACTACTTTTCTTGGCATTGCCTCTAAACTAACAATTTTGAAATACATGTAAAATCTTTAATTCTTTAATAACAGAATTAGGCTCTGTTTATGCAACGTTTGTAAACTCAAATTAGTTTAGTTGCAAAGTGCAAACTGTTTTAACTTCCTACAAGAGTATTAGTATAAATCAATTAAACTAATTGGATTACTCGTGCATTGCTACAGGTCAAAAAAATTTTTATTTTATTATCTTTATTAATT